GAAACACACTTCCTCCAACAATGCCACACCTGCTCCAACAAAGTCACACCTCCTGATAGTGCCACTCCCTATGGGCCAAGCATTCAAACACCTGAGTCTAGGAGGGTTGTACCTTTTAAAACCACCACAGTCCCTACCAATGGCCTTCAAGCTTGATACTATCTGACTTGATACATAATAATAGAAACCCTAGTCTGTGATGTATCAGTCAAAATAAAAGTCATAATCTGGGATTTGCAAGTAACAGGAAAAGTTAGGGGGCAACTGATGGGGAAGATCTTTCCTGTGGGATCAGACACTCTCTGTAGGTAGATAATGTCAAAAACCAAGCTAAGAAGCAAGTCACTAAGTTGGTATATACTGAATAATTAGTTGTTGGTTAGATAGAACCCAAACCCACGGCCCTCCTAACACGCACATATACAAATACATATACACAAGCATACTTATGTTTTGCTGGTTGTGGTGAAGGGTCTTGTACAGCGCCAAGTGACTGTGAGGCAAAACAGTACGTGGGCTGGAGAGATGGCTCAGTGGTTAAGGGTGCTGGCTGCTTTTCCAGAGCACCTGGATCTGATTCCCAGCACCCACATGGTGACTTACACACTAGCCAGCTGAAACTCCACTCCCAGGAAATCTGATGCCCTCTTCATATACTGATACACTTAAATAAAACTAACTATAAAAAATTAAATGCCATAATTACTTTTAAAGAGTTTATTTCCCTGAAGATCTAGAAACCCTTGAAGTCATAGCTGGTGTCTGAAGTGAAAGGAGTCTGGTGAGGATTGTGTCTTTAACTTTATTAACGTCAAAATTCTATCGAAATAATCAATAAGTTTAAAATAACTACTAGATATAAAACATTGTTATTTAGTAGGAAAAGTATAGAAATTATTTTCCACACTTGAGATGTAGATTTAGAAAGCCTATTTAGATTTTGCAGATGGTCTGAAGGAAAAAAAAATCTTGGTTTTGGTTTGAGATTAACTAAACCATCAACCAAATGTGACTTGAACCAGAAAAATGTTGATGCTGTTGTAGAGTGTACACCAAAGCTTGGGTTTAAGCCAATATAAAGTTGTTATGAACCAACCAGTGACTACACTGGGTTTTCAGGATCCCAGTATAGCCCTGAGCCTTTCTTGGGATGAACTTTGAAACATAAATACCATATGCTTGGTTGACATACTTCAGTTAACAAGAATAGTTAGCCAGAAGTGGAAGTACAAAAGACAAAAAGCAAGGCCATTATATTTAGAGAATTTTATCCAGACCTATGAACTTTGATAGATCAGATCTTTGTTTTCATCTTGGCAGGTGGTGCTTTCTATACACTGAGTTTTAGGGCTTAAATGGTACTTCCACAATGGAGTCAGTAGTGCTAAGGTTTGGGGCCCTGCTACAATGCAACAGAATTTGCTTGTTTACTTATCTATCTCCTTGAAGCAGTGTAGAAGGATAAAAGAAATTAAGGAGTCAGAAGATGGGAATGAGCCCTCTCCCTGGAGTCCAGTTGAAGTTGCTCACCAGTTGAGTCAACACTTCCAGCACAATTGATAAAATTTGCATGAATGTTGACGACATGGAGACAATTTGCCTTTTATATAAAGATACCTCAGATGAGTTGTGTTTAAAGCCTAAGTGTATATGTCCTTTCTTCTTTCCCAGATGTAAACTGTAATCTCACAAACAAGATGATATACCTTTGTTTACAGTTTAAAAAAAGGAAAAAGAAAAAGAAAGAAGGAAAGAAAGATAGAAAGAAAACCCTTAACTTTTCATGTAACAACTGTGATTGAAGTTTTTAGCTCATCAGGTATAACCCTATCCAATGCACCACCAGAATCACTTTGTTCTCTATTCAAGTTCCTTAGCAACCCTTGGTAGAAGTCACCAAAATCATGTATATGTAACTATTGTAAACATATTAAGAGCCAGATCATCTTGATAGGCCTACACCTATGTCTGGGTGTGTCTTCATCCCCACCACAATCCCCAGCGGCCCTCCATCTTTCTGTTAACCTCTGCACTTTCATCCATGGTAAACTTTCTCATAAATTCCAAATTTGCTTCATATTGGCTTGTGTTGAAAATCTTTCCTGAAGCAAGGTTAAGAATCTCACCTCCTTCTGAGTAGAGATCTCTGCAAAGATCTCAGGATGCTGCAGGCAATATCATGGCGGCCCATGCTCCATGGCCACTGCCAATCTCCCCTTGATCTCTAACATTTTGAGTTGTGCTAGAAGACACTAAAGTATCTACGAGTTTTCCTAAGTGTGTTTATCTATTTATTCATTATACACACATGTATTGGTCACCTACCATTCACCACACTTGGCCCTAGAAGTATTCTGAAGCTCTATTTGCTATCTCTATGACTTTCAGCAAACCACCTGCCATTTCTGTAGAAGAGGAAATTGAACCAGATTTTAGATTATAAAACATCCTGTCCGACTCTAACTGCTACTGATTCCTTGAGTGAGCTGGGAAACCCTGGGAGCCTGAACAGGAGGCCCCTCTTCTTCAATGTTTGCCAACTCTCTGGTGAGTCTTCCCTCAGCTCTTCCTCCAGCCCCTCCTAACTCCATAAATCTGCATACGAAAGGACCAGACAGCTGTAGCTCTCAACAGCTTTGGTTTTCATCACTGCCTGTGTCGTCCTGCCTGGTGAAACTGCTTTTTAAAGGGGCCAAGCCTCTTTCAACAATTCTAAATATTTCTGAAGACACCAACCAGAGCATAACAAGCTTACACATAGATGAAACAGGGAAGTTTTTCCACAGGTGGTTAAACTAATGAGAGGACATCTCTGCGGGAGAGAGTCTGTGATGTAGGCTGACTGTAGAAGGGCCCAGAGCAGCATGGGGGAGGCTGGGATGGTGGTGGACAGCAATGGAGCCCTAGGAGCAGGTGATACCGATACCATGACAAGGTGCTGGAGAAAGGGAAGACACCACCTCCAGAGAGGACGTCCTGGGTGCGGCACATTTCACCACGTGTGCAATCTACATCACTTCAAAATCCCGCACGCTGAAGAAATGAAAACAAAGCTGTTGAAAAGAAAGGCACCAGGATGCTGTGTAAACACCGGTGTGAGAATAATCAAGATGACTTCTGATCTTGCTTAGTAAGCCAGAGAGAAATATGCATTTCCACACTGATATCCTACCAAACCCTGCTACAAATGCAGACATTTAAAAACAGGCCTGGAGAAAGAATCAGGAGGAGATCTCAGCAGTACTGTGTTCACCTAGAATATGCAAGGCTCTGGCTTTGATTTCCAGCAACAAAGAAACAGAGGGGTGGGAAAACACATGAAAATAGAAAAGACAAAGAAATAGAAACAGCATCACATAGCAGTATAGTAACTTACGGTGTCTTTATAATTCAAAGTTTAAAACGTTCAATCCAAGCAGAAGCCTTGCCTGGGGCAAAGCTTTAAAGACCCTTCCATTCACTTTCTGGACCTTGACTTCCCAAGTTCTTTGAATAAAATGGCATTTCCCTTTTCGATGTGAAATCAGTATACTTTCAAATGTTGCACTCTTAATTTTTGACTCCGAGATCCTGCTTGGTCTATTCCTCTAAGAATAGCTGTGTTTCACCCACCAGTCCCTTAGGCTTCATCTTGCTATTCCCAAGGATCTTTTTCCCAATAAAGCAGTATGATGGCTGAAGATGTTCCTCTCCTTTGTACTAAAAGGGGTCAGAGAGGTAGAGTTTCATTAAAGCACCTTCAAGAATGATTCTGCAGGGACTTTATTGAGGCTGGGAGGGAGGGTGTTTTCAGTCATGTAATGTCTCGTGTGAATGACAACAGGTTCCCAATTCTTTAGATTTCAACTGGTGACAAGATACCTTTGCTATACATTCAATAAAACAGGATTCAGGAAACAATGGGAAGGGCGACTAACCTTCGGAATCTGCAATCTAGAGGGATCCGTTTCTTGTCTCACCTCTTCTGTGAAATGTCAAAATGACAGACAAGGCCTCAAATCCTTCCTGCTTTTTAAAAGATGGCAAAGAATACTACAGATCTGGAAAGTCTCCTGAAGGCCTGTGGTAAAGGCCTGGTCCTCAGGGAGATCCTAAGGGAGTTGGTGAACTCTTTAGAAATGTCTTTAGGTAGTGAGGGGATGCTCTTGAAGTGGGTATTGCTTCCCAGGCTTCCATTCCTTCTCCTTTGCTTTCTGGCCACAAGAGGAGTAGTTAGCTTCATCATTGAAGAGTCCAAGAATAAAAATATGGAAATGTAGATTCCAGAAATAAGAATGTAAAATAAAGAAATATAAAGTTGCAAGCTTAGGACATTGAGAGCAGGCTCAGCAGCTTTCTCAGCAGCTTCAGGATTAACTATTAACAGTGGGCTACTTTGCTTTACAACTGACGGCTTTGTCCGCAGGACTGAAGCAGCCCTTTGCAAACTGAGGGTCAGCTTTTAGATAACCCCCTACCCCTGCAGCCACTCCTGACCAGCAACTAATGTGAGCTAACTTTTATTTTTATTTTTTATTTTTTTGGGGGGGTTTAAAGACACTTCACAGTGTGTTGTGTTTATTAAGTAGCTCCACAGAGGTGTGAGGGCTGATACAGTGGGTGAGTAAAGCTGCCTGAGCCTGCTCGGGCGGATCCACGCACCAGTGGTGATGCAGTCCACTGGGGCTCCAGGGATGGATGGCAGAGACAGAGGGAAGAGCTGGACAGAGATGGGATGAGCTTTTTATCCTCTCAGATGTTAGTTTTTTGGTCTATAAGTAAGTTGGAAAGGAAGGCTCAGAATTAAATAAATACAATTGAGGAACGGCCTTTATTGAACAAAGTCCACCAATTCAGCTTCGAGTAGGTTTTCCTTTCAGCAGCGGCACTCATCTCTCCCAAGACTCCAGCTGAGACCCCTTCTCCTGTGTCTCTGAGGAAGTGGAAGTGCATCACTATTCTCAATGGAGAGGACAACGCCTTTTCTGTGACAGGAAAACGACTGGCTTAACTCTGCAGGACAACACTTGGTCCTCCAGTCAGCTTCCTTAGTTTATTTTGTCCTGGAATATATACAAGTTATTGGTGGCAGCTACAGCAATAATGCTCTCCATGGGGTGCCAGGCTGTGTGAAGGATCTTCTTATTGAAGTCCAAACTGTCTACGCTAATCTCGTCTTTCTTTCTCTTACCCCCTGTACATACTTTCTGGCGCTTCAGGCTGGCTCGGGGTTTGCTGTTCTCTCTCGAGGCTTCCAGTGTAACATCCCTCCGTGTGTTTCTCTCAAACATTCTGAAGAAGTTGTTGTAGGACCCCGTCATAATGGCACTGTCTGAACCGTTCCAGCAACACTCAAACTTGTCAAAGATGCAGTCATTCTCATACAAGGAGCAGAGCTTGCTTCGTAGGTACTCATGTACCTGGTGGGTCTTGACAGGCCTGCCCTCCACGTTGAGGTCCCATACCTTCACTGACAGATAGTCTCTGGTCATCATGTACCGACCACTGTGGCTGAACTTGACGTCAGACATAGACGAGATTATTTCTGAGAAAAAGGATCTACTGCTGGGGTCTTCTGGCTCTTCAAAAAACTTGGCATGCCTGTCACACAGGGCAGAGGAGCGCATGTCACACAGCCTGATGGTCCCCTTGCTACTGCTATAGACGAACACATTGCACTGGTGTAGGTGGATCTCAGCAGCAGGGATGACTTCTGTCAGCTCCTCCATGTTAGCTGGCTTGATGTCCACAATGTTGAAGCTTCTATCTGTGATTTCTAAATGCCATAGGTTAATTCTCAGATCATCTGCAGAGAGATATGTTTCATGATCACTATTTACTGAAATGGAATTAATGTGATATGTATGAGCATTTGCAAAAATTCGTCGTGGACTTACTTCTACCATAAGGTCCATGGGCTTCAATATTGGAACCCGTAGTGCTGTAATTCTAAATGGGTCTCGAAGTCATCCATCTTCATCTTTCAAGTTATAACCTTCTGCTCTTTTATCCCGTTCACTTATTTTCCATAATTTAATAGTTTTATCATTTGTAGAGAGTAGAAAATGAGCAGCATTCTGTTGCAGTAACCACCTGATTTTATTAATTTTTTCTTCAATTTCTAGACTTTTCCAATAGTCAAACTCTGGCTCATGACTCTGAAAGGTACTGTAAACATTGTACTCTCCCCTAGAGTGAGCGCGGCCTTTATTCTCTTGTTCCCGCTGGAAAATAGCAACTCTGCCACCTTTGTCTCCTGTTGCAAGAAGGTCTCCAGAGTAGTTAAACTCAACAGTGGAGATGATGTCGGCTTCTGCCACGTCCTCGTCACAACAGCGCCCTTCACTTGCGAGAAGCACCACTGGAAGTCGTTGCCGCCGGGGCAGCCATGGAGCGGGCAGGACCGAGCGCTCAGCCCAGGTCACCGCTGCCGCTGCCGCCACAGCTCCCGCCCCTGAGTTAACTTTTAAATGATGGGATGTAGGTGACTTTTTGGTTTGGCATTGTCCCATACCCTTCCCTGCTATGCAAAAGTGGCAGCATCAGAGGAAGGCAGAGCTTTGCTGAACACCGTCAGCATGAACCTGAGAGAAACCTGAGAGAAACGGTGGGCTAAATACAAACACTAGTTTAACTGAAAAACCCTGATAAAGAAAACTGTAAAGAAAAACAATTTGTATCTGAGTTTACCTCGAGATTGGAAAAAATCTTTTGTTCACACCTAATGGCTGCTTCTTGCTATAAAAAAGGGAGTTTGGAAACAGCCCATCACCTCAGTCTTACAAGTCCATCTCTGGCTGTGGTCTCAGCTAGCTGATAAGTTTTTCGTGCCCCATGGAGATTTATTTTCTTAATTTTTAATTTTTTTGGAATAAAGTTTGCTTCTGGTTTAAGAGACTTTGGCGGTCTGTCCCCCATGTTTGTGCAACTCCTTTGGACCCAACAATCTTGAGCCCTACACTCTTGCCTCCCAACATCACCGTCTTAGCTACTTTTCTATTATGGTAAAGAGACATTAGGACCAAGGCAACTTTTAGTAAAAATAATTTCTCTGGAAGCTGGTTAACATTTCAGAGGGTGAGTGCCCAAAGCAGGTAGGCTGGCATGACACCAGAGCAGTAGCTGAAAACTTGTATCTGATCCACAAGCAGGAGGGAAAGAGCTGGAGGCTGGGCCTGGCACAGGCTTTTGAAGCCTCGGCCCTTACCCCCAGGAACCACCTTCTCCAGCAAGGCTACAACTCCTAAACCTTCCTAAGAAGTCCACCAGCTAGGAATCAGATATGAACATCTAGGAGTCCATCCTCACTCAGACCACCACAACCACCCACAAAGGGTCTAAGAGCAGTGGGTTTACCCGATTGTGAGCTGGAACCACCACGAATCAAAAGCCTTTTAAGTGCTAGAATCACAGATATGTGCCACCATACAGGCTAATCTTTTCTGTTTATTGGTTAATGATCTCAAGTGATTGAAAGCTGACACACACAACAAAAGGAAAGACTAGACATGGAAAGAAGGGAGAGAAACACGAAGGTAAAAATAATATCATCTTTTAGGGCCATAATGAAAAAGTCGTAAGTATGCAACACGAAATGCATATGCAATGCAGAACATTATGTAATGTTCTTTCTTAGAAATGTTACTTCAGAGACTGTGAAAATCTCATAGATGTTGTGAAGAGAAAATCCAAGAAATAAACTGTGCCTGCTATAAGACCCAATAAAGGCCCAACTTTGAGATAATCTATAAATAAATTAAATCCAAGCAAGGAGGCTTCTTGTTGCCTGTCAAGGTAGGTTTGGTGCACTGGGCTATGAGCCCCACGACCACGCCCTCCCCAGGAATGCATCTTCTTTCATTGCGCCTTTGCACAACTGCCAATTCCAGATTTTACTTTCTGCTTGTTTCCCTTCCCCGACAGTGTATACTGCACAGGTGAGACAGCAAGCCATCAAACTATGGGATGGGGACAGCCCGACCCATAGCAGACCCTGGACTGAAACAGACCATGGGAGGTAGGGCACTGAGTATCTCGCCGCACACCAAAGCAGTTAGTTCTGCGTTGGTGTTCGGTAAAGAAAACAGGAGTCAGGACACAGAGGCCAGCGGTAAGAGAGCTAATGGAGGTAATTAGAAGAAAACACCTGTCAGTGAGCCACTGTACTTCCGCATCAGCCACAGCCAGCCACGGCTCCCAATAATTATTCACGACAATGAGGCGCTCTGGACGGTGGACGCGAGCAATGATGGACGGCAATAAAACCCGAAAATGAGTTTTCCCATTGTCTAATAAAGTTCTATCACTCTGTCAATCTGTGTTGACACAGACCTACACAGGACCAGATGATAACATATGTAACAGCAAGTTAATTGTTTCCTTGGGTTTTCATGTTTGTCTTTTACTTTTATGGTTCTAGATGCAAATTCTGGTTGTCTCATGAGTGGTGGTGAGGGCAGCGGTCGTTTCTAAATCCCTAGCCACCAAATAGCCACGCTCCTCAAAATGTTTCAAGTCCATCAGGGCTGCAAAGGAGTGAAGAAATGAAAGTCCTGTACACCTATGTCTGCAGCATACAGAAAATCAGGGTGCCTAATAAGTGCTCACGTACATGGCTCAGAAATTTACATTTTAAATAATAATAATAAGCAAAGTCAACCACCATGTAAGTTCCGTATCAGGTAGCTTTTTTGTCTGATCTAAATACTGCAAAGAAATAAGATAGAATTTCTCCACTGTTAAGTTAGCCTTAGAAAAGAATATTTTCACAGGGTAGCTAAATTCACAAAAAACTCTGGAAAGTGTCCCATGGAAAGGGGGATGGAAAATGAGTTTGAGAAGTCTCTATGGCAGACACAAGTTTATGGCTGGAATGCCTTGGGATTCTACGAGCCCAGAAGAAAACCTCAGCTGAACAATTGTAGAAATAAGGGAAGGAAGTGAGTAAGGATGGTCTTATCATACAGAAGCTCCATAGTGTTTAAAAGAAAGTGATGAACTCACTGACCTACAACAGGCCAAAGGCTGGTTCACAAAAATTAGGTGAGTATACATATATAACTCAGCATATTCAATTGTTTTCTAGATTAAAAAACTTTTCATTTGTCATTAATGTTTTAAGTTATTAAATTATTCATTAAATTTATAATATAGCAATATTCTGTTATAATATAGTAAGAGTCTATTACAAAATATAATCAGAAACTCTCCATCCATTGGAAAATCCCAAAACACATGAATATAAACACAATAGAGCTACCTAAACCCTTTTTATTAGAGAGGATACACTGCAATCACCTAGAAATGTCTATAGATTGAGCAATTTTATGTTACAATAAAGTCCTTGAGAAAACTTTAACTCTCTTTGGGAGGTTCAAGGCCAAGATTGGGTGGCTCCATTGATTTAACCTTAGGTGAGGGTAGTCCTTCAGAAAGTGTGTAATCACATTTAGCTGAAATGGAGACAAGAGGAAACTAAGACAAGGTCTTTCTGCTAGGCTCCTCCCAAAGGTTTCATAACCTCCAGTTAACACCACTTTGATTCTTGTGGGTAAACAGTCAATGACCAAAGCATAGCAATCAGCCTGCTGGTATATACAGATTTCGAAGGGTTAATTTTGCTTGCTTCTTGCCTGTCTCATAAAGTATTATTGAATTTAAAAACTGGTAGCATATTTTGGATTGTTAGAAATAGATTAACATAATAATTATTTTAGAAATAAAACTGAAAAAAGTGAGAGAAAAATCACACTTTAGAACACGATGGCATCTGAGATTCAGATTTCACAGGGACTTAAATCTCATTAGCACCAGTTTTCAATGCATTCCAGCCAATGGAACCGCAGTTCACAAATAAATATAAATCAAGTGTGGAAGCCAGAATGACTTCCAATCTCATATTCCCCGTGTTTGCCAAAATATATTCAAAATCAAAGTATAAATTTATGGGGTCATTAAGTCTTTTTGGATTATACAAACTTCCAGGCCTTGAGTAATTTAAATATGCTAGATATTTCATGGAGGGTTTTCACTGTAGGTTTTTTTAATTTTATGATTAAGATAACAAAAACCATATGATAAATTATGTTAAATAAAAGAAAATATTGATTTCATATTTTACCAAGAGAAGAATTCATGCAACATAATAGTTTCCTTTGTGGCTGGGACTTCTAAACTGAAAATCTGGGAATTTTACATGCAGACTCTCAATAAGAGAGGTTAAGTGTGGAAGGGGTCCCGGAAAGAAAGAACTGGCAGAGAGTCCTAATCCAATTATTAAAAACAATGAGTTGACCACGGAATCAAAAGGAAAGGTAAGTCTTTTGGCTCTAACTGTAGCACTTAGACAAACAATGATGTCTGTCTGGGGGCCTCTCTTTGTGGGCTCCTTTCTAGTTTCTCTACACAAGCAAATGAGTCATGTAGAACGGGAGGATACTGTTTGCCATGCCCTCTACAGCATCTAAAGATTCATGCAACTGTTGACTGAAAACTATCACATCTGTATGAATATGTGAAGACCTTTTTCTTATTATCCAACTTTAAAAATGCTGTTTCCACAGCATATATGCCTCATAAGATATTAAAAATGATCTAAAGATGATAGAGTGCACAGAAAGATGATGCAGGTTAGACACAGATACTTTACTATTTTATATAAAAGTCTCAAGCCTGCTTCACTACAGAGAGGTCTGGGAACTGATCCCTCACGAATACAGAAGCAATCACCACATTGCTGACTACAGAGGATGATCAGAGTTGTAAAGAGTCTTCCCACAGGCTGAGAGGTTCAACTACGGCCATTGGGGTTGGACCAACATCTGAACCTTGGTGCCAGTCCAGCAGAAATGCCCACTCTGAAGGTCAAGTAGCCCTTGCTTCTTTCCAAAGAGATCCCCAAATGCTGGATGTGCTTTTTATACCAACTGGGGCACACCTCTATGAGGAAGATGGGATCCTCAGCCTACTCGGCTCAAGGCTAGGTATGCTTCTCTTAAAACTCTCTAAGAGACTTTGAAAACTCCTTATCGTCATATGAAAAAATAATGTCTACAAATGATTTTTGTCTTCTTTAATGTCTTTAACAGATGCAAAATTTAATCTGTGTACATGTAGCTGTGGTCAGTACACTGCTTTGGCTAAAATCCATAATGGTGGATGAGAGTGTTCTGGAACCCACATGGCTTCCTATACTTAGGTTTTGAACAGACCATCCTCTGACTGAAATGCCTTTCTCAAGATCAATTTAGTTGAGATAGTCTTTCTTCCCAAGGCTGTCATCTCAGTAAAACCTCCCCCAGCCTTAGCTCTCTGTATGTCTCTATTAGAACTTCACAACTT